AGCGAAGGCTAGAGGACCAAGTAGAGGACTTGAAGAAGGAGATTGATGAGCTCAAGGCTCCTAAAAGCTCGGGTGCTGTTTGGGTACAGACTGTGGATCACAGTTCTGATGCTGGAGTCCAGACCCATTTCGTCGTGAGGAGCATGAGTGTTGAAACTCAATGCTCTGTTCCCTCGGTGTTGGGCGTGACGGGGGTAAGGGAGATTGGATGTCAGACAGGCTCGGTTCTGGAGACGGAGGGTGAGTCTGAGGGGGCATTGACTGCAAGGGGCTCGACAGGCCCTGGGAATTCCCGGGAGCTGACCTGGGCTCGTATGGTCGGTCGGAAGAAGAGGAAAGGAGATAAGGAGAAGGAGAGGATAGGAGTAGAGAAGAAGGCGAGGAATGAGGAGGTGAGGAAAACTGTCGTGCAGAAGCTGACACCACCACCTTGTAAGGAAATGAGGGTAGAAAAGGGAGGAGGTAAAGGGAAAAAGGAGAGGAATAAAGGTGAAGATGTGACCCCCACGCCCGCCAAGCCCGCCACGCCAGCTGCGGCGTTGAAGCCACCTCCCTCCCACAGAAAGAGGGGGAGGCACAAAAAGAATGCCCCCAATACCTCTGCGGTGGTCATTACCATCACCCCTGAGGCGGAGTCCAAAGGGGTGACCTACGAAGAGGTTCTGACCAAGGCGAGAAGAGGAATTGCCCTCCCAGATTTGGGCATCACAAGAGGAGTCGACATGGGGGTGACCGCTGCCGGCGCCAGAATTATGAAGGTGTCGGGGCCTGAAAGCGGTAAACTGGCGAGTCTTCTCGCCTCGAGGTTGTCGGTGTTGTTAGGCGACTTGGTCGTCATATCGACACCGACTAAGAAGGCGGATATCAGGGTGACGGAACTCGACGACTCTGTCACCCCTGATGATCTAAGAGCGGAGCTGGCGAGGCAGGGTAACTGCCCACCTGAACAGATAGTGGTGGGGCCGATCAGCAGAGGCGGTGACGGGCTCAATGTAGCCCTCCTGAAATGCCCTGTGGCGGCGGCCGAGGCTCTTGCCAGGAGTGGTCGGCTATTGGTCGGATGGACCTCCGCCCGGATTCGACGCCTGGACCCATTGCCCTTGCGCTGTTACAAGTGCATGGGCACGGGCCATGTGCGGAAGGTGTGCCCCTCTAAGGAGGATCGCTCTGGAGCTTGCTTCAGGTGCGGCCTCGAGGGGCACAAGGCGGCGTGCTGCCGCGAAAAGGTGCGATGCGCAGTTTGTGCTGCCGCATCCTTGCCGAGCGGACACGTGATGGGGAGCAAGAGGTGCTCTCCACCTTCCGTACGGGCACGGTCGGTTCCCGTGCCCCGTGGTACTCGTGCGGTACCGGCTGAGGACCCTCCTGAGGTGATGGACACGCATTAGCGTGCCCAACTCTCTCGGGGGGGGGGACGGCTGGAGCGGCTAGCAGTCGACTGGTTCCCTGGCAGGGTTACGTCTGCCGGGTGCGCCTGTGTCGCTGCTAGTGAGAGGTACATGGGGAGTCGACCTGCGTTTCGCAGGTGAGGGGATTTCCTCAGTGGCCCCGGTCTGGGTGCCCGGTTCGGCCGCCATGCACACCGTTTTGGTGTGTGTGGCGGCCGGTCCGGGCGGTACCATTCCGGGGCCGCGCAGTGAGGAGCGGCGGAGCCGGTTGATGAGGCCTGATAGCGCCCTTTTCAGGGCTGTGGTCGGGCCGTACTCCGGTGGTAACTGCGACCGTACGGGGGGAGGGATCCACGATAAGGGCTCTGCCTGTGTGGGTCCTTCCAATAGATGGGAAAGAGACTAGAGATTGCACAGTCGCGCATCTCTAGTCCCTAGTCGGGGGCAGCTGGCTGGTTTGCGCACTGGCTGGCATTGCACGTCTCCGCCCTGTCTTGGGGGGTACGTCTTGAGTGTCTCTGAGATGTGCCGCCCAACCCGCGAGGGACCTGCCCTTTTCAGGGCGGGCCGAAATGGGGGCGAACCGCGCGGTGTATGGCCTTCGGGCTGATCCCGTGCATCGCCTTCCATGCGAGGGACATCGCTGAGTTTTAGTGGGTATACCCCTGCTATTTGACTAGCCCCACTCTGGGGTGGGTCCGCAGGGGGGAGCCCCACATAACCTGTGGAGCCTGCGCTGGGTGAAGCGGGTATGCAGTAATGCATTTCTCAGCGTCAAAAAAAAAAAAAAAAAAAAAAAAAAAGTAGCTGCACATGTGGTGTGGTTTAGATATCTATGACACGAGTTTATTTCGAAAAAGTGTATAGATTTGTGGATGACGTATGTTTATTCTTTTAATTACAACTATGTTGAGATTTGTGTTTTCTGCAGTCTAAACTAAGAAACTGTAGAAAAATTTATTTGTTTAATGCGTATTGTTTAAGTGAAAATAAAAAAATAATAATTTTGTGAAATACATATTAAGATTTTCTTATGTAAATCTGTTTTTGGATGAAATATTAAGCTACTAATTATAGATTGTCGGTGTACTCAATTTTCTTACAAGCTTGCTAAACTTTTTTAAGATTTCGTCAGCTCACATAATATAAGGATACCTAATTATACAGAAAATCTATAAAGATAATAGTACCACACTGAATTACTTAAAAAAACAATTTGGTTAATACAAAATTAAACGTTTAAAATTATAATTAGGTTCATAGGTTAACTATGTCTATGAGATAAATGATTCTTGTATCCGGGAATTTAATGAGATGTGATATCTTGATAGATAAGTAGGTAACTTGATAAAAAAATAACCCAATTGTGATAAACTATGTCAAAGTATGTAAAATCTATGGTCAAAGAGGTCGCGTATCACTTAATTCAAATAAAGCGCACCTTCTTGTTATGTTGTTGGTTATATAACCAAACCTTTTTTTATATTGAAATTTGATAATATGTGATTAACTTTTTTTCGATAATTGTATTGTATTTTTAATGGTCAGAAACGCAATCTAAGTAATAAATAAATTATTCAAGAAAATGCTGTTAAAGTCAGACGGAGGTTTTCATAGATTCCTTCTGGGCAAGCTCGTCCCCCCGTACATCTCATTTACTTATGTCCTTGGGTTAGATCGAGGTCAAGAGTGAGCCCATTATAAATAAAAAAATATAAAGTAGTTTTGACTTTATGTTAAGGATTATATATAGATTAAGGATAAGTGCAGTAGACATATATGGAACGACTATTTAGCAGATATTTAGGAAATCTTATTAGTTACATGGATTACTTAATTGTTTTTAATCTTGAAATAAATTACAATTATACACCACATACATTTACAATCAAAATTATTGTGTCATAATTCAGTGCGAATAATTCTAATGGCATATTTGTATAGAAACGGCATATTTTAACTTCGGTAGAGTTGTTTTTATTTTCCGCTATAAATATTTTTTGTTTCTCTTTTGAGAAAGTAAATGTTGTTGATTATAATAACAGTGCAGTATTCCTGGCAACCTTCTTTAGAAATAGCTATGTAGGTCAGTTTGCTGAAAGAAAACTAAAAAAAAGAATTGCCTAGTAACGAGGGTGTGAGTTTATGTTGGGTCAATTTGATAAACTTATAAGTAATATTTTATACATGAATTATAAGGTACTGATTATACGACTATTGTTCAGTAGTTACCCGAGAAATGTTATGTAGATTAGATTATGTGAGTTTATTATAGTAAAGATAAAAAATAATTGTCACTCATTGGTGCATTAATTGAATAGATACTTAAGAAATTTGGTTATTTTATAAAAAACTGTTTCCGTAATGTCGATTTTTTGGAAGCAAGAATTTACTATTTCTTTTTAATTTTATTTATTTTATAGTCAAATTACATTGCTAAAATGTCGTATCCAATTATCCTATGGTTAGTGAGTTAGGCGTTTGCACCCTTGAGAGGACAGCATGTTTAGGGTTGAATAATATAACGAGACTTATGTATGATAATAGTTATATATCGAAAATATACTTTATAGAGGTTAGGCTAAACAGGTAGGTACTATTAGTTTTTTATATTATTATTTATACTTATTACATTTAACTACTTGTTTATTACACTGGAATTACATTGTACTCCCACTCCGCATTACACTTCTATGGCTATGCTAGCGATCAAACGACGAGTAGGGTACAGCTGAAAATCAGTGTCCGTTCCTGTATGGAACATTCAACACTGAGCAGGGGGTCAATTCTACTAAATAAATTTTGTTTAAATCGAATCGAAGTCAAAGTCAAAGTCAAAATAATCTTTATTCAAATAGACTTCTTAAAAGTACTTTTGAATCGTCCAACATTTTTTTCCCTACCACTCGTTCAGGACGTCTTTTGGCTGATAAGAAGAACGAGCAAGAAACTCACCAGCTCTAATAAGAGTAATGACATTTACAAAAACCAAAAACCGAAACCGAACGAAACTACAGTTTTTAATGGTTTTAGAATATTTAGTAGAATTGGCCCCCTGTATCGTGGGCTACTGCTTCACACTGCAGTATGTGCGAACCATTTTCGTTGTCCAATTTAATTTTTTACACACCAACTAAGCATAAAATATGAAATATGAAATTTAAATAACTTGTTATGTTGTGTTATTAGTGGTTTAACAAACGATTATCTATCTATCTTCTGGTGTCGAGTATTACGTCGCAGTTATTACAGGTCCTTAAAGAATCGCTTAGCCCCTCTAAATATATTTATAAATAATATGTTGTAAATATGGGTCTATTTACTGATGTATCGCTGTTCATACACACTGACCTACTAATCGAAATAGACTCTTGACAATAGCTTTTGTTAACGCGGTGAAACACCTTTCGCTTACCTCCTTATTTTTTTCAGTAAATCAGAAAAGGATGAAATATCTCAGGCTTCTATATGTGGCAATTGTTCAAGATTCACAAAGCTGGCTGACTTGCAATTTTGATCAGTTAAGGAATTCCAGAAGTTTTAGTTTCATACTTAATTCAGACGCAAGCATACGTGCGGATATGCTAGAGACAAGAACTAATGAGTTTTATTATGAATAGCAATGTTAAGTCACCTCACTCAGCAAGATCAAGAGTACCGATAGATAACATCGGAGTTAAATGGTGGGATCTATATGGTGCCAGCGAAGCTACTACATCAGAGTGTTATGTACAAAACGAAGTTGATGTAGAACAGACTGAAGAACAAAATAAAATTGTAGACAAGAGTACATGCACGAACAATTTACTCCAACGATATTCAAGTATCAAAGTGTATAAAGATGATAACGGAAAAATAGCAAATCTTAATCCAAAAGATATTGTATTAAAAAAATGGAGGGAAGAACAGGCTAAAGCGAAATACGAACAAGCTCGGAAAGCGGTGATTAAATCACTGAAAGAGAAATTCGAGGTAACGCCACATGCTAATACGCGTCCCATCCCTGGAGCGAATAAAACTTGTATTCGAAAAATAATACCGACGATCATAATAACGGGAGACAGCGAAATATCAAATTTGAACGCGAACGTCGCGAGCCAAGGAAAACGTGATTCTGCCGGTGAAGGATTTAAGGTTGAGATTGGGGATGGTAATGATGCGGGTGCCTGTCACGCGAGCAGACTTCAGGTGGGGCCAGGTGGTGAGTTGGCACAGTGGAGGCCTTCTCCTGGTGGCAGTAGGGCGGCGTGCGCGGAGGGCGGAATACGCGGGTTTGCGAGGGAAACCATGCCGGTGAGTGCATTTATGTTCTCATACAAAGTTTTGATTTGCAACTTCAGATTTGACTTTTTAACGGCTCTGTTAGTTATTGAATAGAAAAATCGTATTAATACGTTAAATTTAAAAATTATGACTAATTAGAGATGTGTGGTTGTATTATTGCGGAAGGTAATCTATGGAACTACAAGATCTGTTTGAAATTTGCAAGATCTGAATATATTATTATAACCTACTCAGTCTATGAGATATTAACGACGAATTTTAATATTAAATTTGTATAAATAAAAGTAAGTACTTATTAAATTAAGGAAAGCATTATCATTACTCTTTATTAGATAAGCAGTTTTGGTTACAAGGTTGCTATAAGACGTTAACAATCTAATAGTCTAGTTAGATTTTCTAGTTCAGTATGTAAGTAGGAAGGAAGGTAGGAATGCCGGAATGTGATCTAGATATTTGTTCGTGTAATATTTGACCTCTGGAAATGTATAATTTAAAAGTTTTTATCAGAAGAACGTGCGAAGTGTGAAGTCCGTGACCTTACGCAAGTCTCATGTTTTTACATAGTGTAATCAAGGATATTATGCGTAACTTAACACACACAAATTCAAATAAATATAACTAAATTTTTGTGATATTTCTTATTCTAACTTATTGATTATTCTCAGGTCCTAGGCTCATGAAGTACTCAAATATTTAACTAACCGCTTTATTGTATTTTAATTTAATAAGTATATTTCTATTCTCATATAAAATTACAACGTGAAGTTAAAATCATTTCCATAGAAGATATATTAAATTTAAATACCAGACTTCATGAATCTAAGTTCAAAAATTAGGTATGAGCTTTCATACAAACTATGAAGAACGTATTTGTCATTCAGATAATTTTAAAAATTATGCGTCGATAATGCGATGGTCAGCTTGCTCATACGCATAACATTTCAAATTCCCTTTTACATTATTTTTTTTTAATTTGTAAAAAATTAATTTGTGTTTTGATCTGTGTAAGTCATCCAGCTTTTTTAAATTAATATTTATTTTTAATCGGTTTCCATTAATTGTGACGATAACTGGTCATCTTCAAGGAGATGGTCCTTGAACATTTTTAGAAAATTAAAGAATAATATTGCTATTTAACTTAAAGTCACGTACTCGAAGACGTTATATAAATTATAACCTTGGGTTAATTCAATGACCTCCGTATTTTTTGTCATTTCATCGGCTGTAGTAATTTAGAGTAATAAAGACCATGTTTAATTATAGAAAAAGTTTTGATATGATCACTTACTATAATAAAAATTATTGATTAATGAATATATTGTATCAAAAATGTAATAATTATATGTATATAATGTATATAAAGCAATGTATGTAAAGAAGAAATACTAACTATACATTTTTCAAGCATCATTTAATTTAATAATAGACAAAAAATTATTAAAATAATGACTGTTTACTAACATTAATTTGAATATAAAAGTAGAATATTAATTTAATGGTTTTATTCACAGTTCTGTTAATAGCCATTTGCCACTCACTACGTCGTTAATAATAATTAATTTATAAACTTGTACCGTATATATTATAAGTTTCATCGATAAAAATGAACCGGGAATAACCGGTAGTCATGCTATATGTCTTATTATCTGGATCGGGATCTACCCTAACAACCCTAGCGTAGATTGGTTCTACAATATTCAGTTTATGGACATCTTTAATAGCTTTAAAGTTTTAAATGGACTCATAATATCTTATATATTAGTTCCGCGTGCTTAACTATAATATAATAGTTTTCATTGTTAACCCTTTCACTAGAGGAATATTAAATTCGACAGGACTCTACGCTAGCACTTCATAGGATACCTGAATTACCAGATGGGGCTAAGCAAAAAATAGGGTGACGATTTTTTGGTATTTACTTGTTATTTAAATTTTTATTCATTTTGGAAAATAATCGAACGTGATGTTGAATATTGTTATAAAATAATGTATCGCTCTATCATTTATTTCCTAGAGATGAGACGCACATTTATCTAAATAGAGATGGGTGTTCGACATGCATTTTTCGACATAATTTGTTAGTGCAGAGTTTACGAAATAATTTTCTTCTTCTTTCTGTCATATAACAACTACAAATACAAATTGTTCAAAGAACTATGTTGTAATTGCTCTCTGCATTTTGTCACAAATACGGACTACCGAAATCCAGAGGAGAATACGACTGGCTGACATAGCAGAAGTAGTAGCAAGAAGAAAGTGGAAGTAGGCAGGTCAAACATGCCGCCAATTTGACGGAAGGTGGCATAGAAAAGTTCTCGATTTAAAGTCAAGAATTGAAAAAGAAAAGTGTGCTGGCAATCTACACGATGCGGAAAAAAGAACTGGATGTAGCGAACAACCAACCGCTTAGAGTGGAAATGTATACGATATTCTATATCCGATAAAAACATAACATGTACAAAACGTAAAAAGTTATGAAATCAACGTAAACCTGAACATCTGATCGTTTTCACTCTTTGTTCAAATGTGTTAATTTAACAAATCAATTTCATGAACTGACAAGAGTGACTGCCAATGAGGAAGCATTAAAAAAAAACAAAAGCACTAAAAAAGCACCTCCACTAGATGGCGACTCTAGCAAAAGTTGATTTTTGCAGGAAACGAATGGATCAAAGACAGTCATTTCCGTTCCTATTAACTAACATATTAAAAAACTGAAATTTGCAAAGTTCGAAACTTAGATATCAATACAAATACGAAAAAGTACAAATAGAATATGAGTTTTTATTGAATTTTGAAAACTAATTTAATTTCAAACATGAAAGAAAACCGGAAAGATTGTCACGGAGAAATCAAGATCGTACCGTGGCGACACCTTTTTTTTTATACCGAGGGGAACTGACCTTAACATGCCGTCGACCTGGGCGAGTGGCCGACTGAACCCGGCCTCTCCCACTGCAATGGTCGGCGGTCCAGTGCAGTGGGAATACCGTGCAAAACCCCCCGTACTACCCTCTCTCTTGGTCCGGTTTGTATCTTAAAATAAGTCCCTAACTAGGTCGGCCTAGTTAGATTTCGGGAACTAATGTTTTTTTTAATACTTCCTAATTCAGCTACTTGTTTGGATAATATTTTTTCAGAACGCAATCCAACAAACTAATTGGTTTTTAATAATTTTAATAAAAATAAAAAAAGACGAGCTGATTTAAACTCCTGAACTGATTGCCAATATATTTGATGATTTTTACATAGGTACAATAATACATAGGCACAATGTTAATCGCATTAGGTATCTAACACCATGCCTTTTTCTCATCTAAATGAGTCCCTAAATCCTAAATTATCCTTTAACGGTATAAAATCCTTTAATTTGTAGACAGTTTTAAATACGACTTATTGCCAAATCTATTACAACACTGAGGATCTTGTTATGGAACTGCTTTAACTTATGATTTGGTTTGATTTGAGCCCCATCGAAAAAAAAACATACTTATATGCTATATTATTTTATGATGTTCAAATTTTAACAATAGATATTATTTTTATTTCTTGATAGTTAATCTCGCCACAATTGACTGTCTTAAATTAGGTAAACTGTTCCATGGAAATTTTAGGATGAAAATAAAGTTGTTATTCTTATAAAACACTCATATAAAATAAACGCATCCATTATTGCAGATATTAAATTACTTACTACGTGTATATTTCAGTTCTTCAGTTTTTTATACCACGAAATCGATATTTTCATTAATCTAATTTCTATATTTAATATTTTAAACATAATATTTTAGTTAATGTTCACTCACATAATGATTTTCTAGTCTCAATGTTTTACATTTTGCGTTGATAGGTTTTTTATTTATATCGTGAAGACGTTTCAAAACTGTCCGGAAAAATTGTGAGACTACAAAAAACAAATAACGGTATTGTTGTCGAAGCGATAGAAGGCGGAAGGGCGGAGTGATGCACGCTGGGCGGTTAGCAACCTCTAATGCCTCTATATCACGATATTCTACTGCCAAATGCTCAACTCAGATTTACATTTTCGCAATATAATATTGATTTGTGAGTGCAAGTTACTACCTGATCACTACGCTTGCAATAACGCAACGCCGAAATATCAGGAACTTAACAAAAACAAGGTACAGCGGACCAATCTCGTAAAAAAACTAACATCCTAATAATAATAATTTGTTAAATGCTTTATGCTCAATAGTACACAGTATATAATAGTACTTGGGCATTTTCTACCACACTACACCTACACCTTTGGGTGATGTGGAGATAATATAAAATTAAAGGTACATGTATAACTTATAATTTCTGTGATTGAACATTTAAGCATGTCTATTTATTTTACTAGCAAATGACATTACATCCGCTGTGTAGTTTAAAAGATTTCAACCTACAGACAGCGAAAAGAAATTTTGCTTTATATATGTAGATCATTTGAACCTGAACACGTTCTCTGTAGTCGTTTGATGCCGTGGGCACTTATCGATGAAATGTATGTGAAGACTAATGCAAAAATCCCAACGTTGTGTAAATGTTACAAATTGCTGTTTTTTCGAGATTCGAGGAAATTGTTTTAAACAATTTAACCTTGTTGACGCAAAACTGGTATTTGAACTTTAGACGACTCTGAGATCGTCTAAAGTACAGATAGTTTGATTTTTACGACTGCGAGACACACATTCTACGCTGTTCGGGCTTATCTGTAATATAAACAAAATATAAAATATGAACAAGAAATGATAATTTCAAATGAATTAACGGTATCCCCAATAATATTAACTAAGGTTAATATCGTTTAACACCCATGTTCCGATAGGTATCAGATAAATAAGCTTCGACTTACGTAATAAGTAGGCAAATTGATAAGTAAATAACAACACTGGCACTATAAATAACAGGTAAACATAATAATATTTCGTATATTGACTTAATCTCTCAGGCCAAAGGTTGTTTATAATTTCGTCAATTACCTGAATGCATAAATATCTTTAAATAAAGTTGGAAATTTATTAACCTACACGTAAACAGAGACCATGTGATCCACTTGTGCATGATTATCTAATGTGGATGCAGAATAACTGAAATCATCCGAATGGCCGATGTTTAATTGAAATTGATTGGCTGCAAGATTTGACTCGGATTATTTAATGATAATTGAAAGTTAGATTTAATTGTTAGTTTTGAAGTTTGCACAGAATTTTGGAAATTCAACCCTTAAAGGATTAGAGAAGGATTAGGATTTAGCTAATTAGTGTTTAGGTGTTGGATGATAAAAATGCGGTAGTAGCGAAAAGTAACAAGTGCTTGAAAAATTCGTCAGTCCTGTTAGGTCCTGGGTAGTTCAGGATTTCACGAAAGTTGCTTAACTTCCCCATCGCAAACCGGAAACGTAAACGTTAACGTGTCTGGGATAGGATTATCTCTCCTATCCCAGACACATGCGTTCAACTATGTAAATTAAAAAAAAATAGATAAAGTTTATCGAGTATATAACACAAATTCTTTAACCTTGAGACGGTTCCGTTTTGCATCACCTATTAATTATCTTATTATTGTTCTACAATTACACGTGCCAATCGAAGTGTTATTAAAGATTATTTTGTAAGAAAATGTTATTATTCTTAATGAAAAATGCTTAAAAAATCCACCAGCTAATACTTTTACA